GCTCCTTTTCTGCACTCCCCAGCCAGCCCTGGTGAGGTTTTGAGCAACCCCTAGATGCCACCGTGGACTTCTCAGCTGGGGACAGGATCCAAAGCATTTGGTAGCTGCAGATAAGCAAAGTAAAATGTGTTGGAGTCAGCATTTTCCTGTGATCCATGGACACTGATTTAATGGAGTTCACAGCACCATAATGCACAAGTTGATTAAACTATTGGATGAGGATCATTCAGAAGAACCCCAGAAAAAATGAATAGAGTCAGTTTTCCCCTTTGCTGCACTGAATGATGCAGAGAAAGAGGGCTCCACTCAGTCCAATGACAACTTCTAACTCCGGCTCAGAATAGGATGCAGTGGTATTGTGTCAACTTTTACCACAGCTCTAGCACGAGTGATGCTATTATTGTAATAAAATTAGGGATACCTTTGTCATACAGTGAATAAAGCCAGCATTTTGAATCAGCTATTTCTACTTCTGAAGTAAGGCTACTTATTTCCTGCAAGAACTTACAACTGATTCACAAGACATCTTAAACCACACATAGTTACCTTTCCAAATTTCAAAGACAATGTGGTCACATCCCCATGTAACCATTGAGATCATCAGGACTGCAATATATGTGGTATTCAAGTGCAATAAGATTTCAGTGTATAGATGTTCTCCCCCCTTTTCACTTTTCCTTAACATTTAAGGTTTTATTTTTTGCAATCTAACACACTCCAGTCCTTTTCACCTACTACCCCTTTCTTCCTTACTCTCAATGACATTTATTTCCTCTCCAGTTTTCCCTCTCTGCTTCTTCTTTGCTCATTTTACATTATTTCCTGCTTTAGCCAGCTCAACTTCAATTAGCTGTGCTCTCCACCCTTCCTTCCCTGAGATACCTGTTTTTATCCACCAAGTAAATTTCTTCATATCTGTCCTACCTCTTTCCCCCCAGTTCTTGGAGTGGCAGCTTTAAAGGTAATGCTGCACATTCCCCCCAGTTCTTGGAGTGGCACATTTAAAGATAATGCTGTTCTTTGTGTCTCCTGGGACTCTGTCACACCATTTACTCACCGGACATAAAACTTTTACTGGACACCCATGCTCACACAAGCATCTCCTCTTCCAGGGATCCAAGGGGGCTGGAGGTGCAGATGTGCATCAGCCTGCTGTCTCCTCTTTCCCTGAGGCCTCGCCAGTTTTAGAAGCCAGAGCTGGGTTCACACGGACGTGTGAGAAAGTGATTAGGGTGTGGGCAGACAAAGCTCTAAGTAAGGTAGCACATGCCATGGTACAGGTGCTGGAGGCAGCAAGGAGACATCGGTGCAGCCTAGCACTCAGAGTGAATATTAATCCTGGAGTCCCTGGGGGCTGCTGGTCCAGTTCTCAGCTGCAGTCTGACATAAATTGCTGTCAACACCAGAGCAACTTAGGTAAAATCTAGTACCTGGGCCACAATTGAGCCTTCAGTCTTTTCTGTAAATGTACTTTGGAAGACTTTGGTGACAGAACAGTCTTTGTGCATTAAACCTGGAATGTGCCTGTGCATGCCAGGGGCAGACCTAGCAGGATTATGGTAGCTGGCTAACTGTGTCTGTAACTACTACTGCCAGACTTATAAATGGGACAGAAATTTAAACAAGTTAAAGGGGGCTTTTTTGGGTTTTTTTTCTTTTTTTTTTTTCTTCTTTTTAGCTTCAGTCAGCTGGAACCTGAACTGGGCTACACCCTGTCTGATTTCACTTGCCTGTTTCTAGTATTGACCAAAAATACAAGCACGAACCCTGGTAAAGTGTTCTCAGCTAAGCCTGGCTGGGATGCTCCCCTCACAGAAGTGACACAGATTGTAGACTCTTCTGGTCTGAATCACTCAGAAATGCAGCAGGAAGGAGATCTACTGCTCTGAATAGAGGAAGAGCAAGAGGTGCCTGTACCTGAGAGTAAAACCAAAGCTAAAGGTCATCGGTCAACTGATGCACTCGATTAATCAGGCAATTTATGGAAGGTATGAACCAGCTCCCCCCCTCAGTGGAGTGTTTTTGGGAAAAATAGTCAAGGAAAATGCTACATGTGAAAAACAGTTCTTGTGGGACACTGGATAACTGGGATAGGAAAAACACTGTTTGGAGAAAGTAACCAAAAAAAGGCTCTCAACTGCACACATAGGCCCCAGGGATGGGGGCTCCTCTATTACAGCATCAGGACTCACACCGTCAGCCTGACTCACCAGTTTTTTGAGCAGAACAAGAAAAAAGATAAGCCAATGAATGGACTGCCAAAGAAAGCTGGAAATGACACACTTATCTAGCCACACAAAGGACAATTTTTAAGGCTGTAGCTCATACACTGTTCTATGCACCTCAGACCTAACAGGAGAGTGAACAATGTACATAAATAAGTAAAGAAAGGAAACTTGCTCCTAACTCCCTCTAATCTTTTCAAATAAAGGTTTGTGCCTTATTTCTGGTATACAGAATTCTGAAACTCTCTGAATTTTCTATCCTTTTATTATCCTGTATCATTTCAAAACTGAGAGGGTGGTGCTCATGTGTGATGCCCCTACTCTCTGAATGTGAGACTGTACATGCATAAAGCAAGCACTTAGTGGGATGAAGTCATTTTGCACAAGTAGCCGATGTTGTCAACTTGATAAAACTGCATGTGCTTGTCGAGAAAAAGCTTCAGAAACAGGAGGCAGAAATGGTACAACTGGGATGATATCCTGAAACTGAGTAACTGTGATGTAATACAAATTCTCCATGGCATCACAGACGGTGTGGCTGCAAGAAGGGAATTTAAACCGAGGAAGTGAGGAGCGGCATGCAAGAAAGTGTTCACAATTTGAGAGTACAGTTCCATTTGAAGGGCAGCATGCTCCTAGACTCAAGTGTTTGGTTTTTTGTTTTTGTTTTTTTGGTTTTTTGTTTTTTTTTTGTGGTTTTTTTTTGTTTGTTTTTTTGTTTGGTTTGGTTTTTATTTTGTTTTAATAATAATATGGGATTTCAATGGCATTTGAATTTTTTTGATCATGTAACACAATAATAGAAAAATTAGCATTACAACGGTCATCTGCATACGCAGAGGCCCCATCATCCAAGCATGCATTGAGGGAACGGATGCGAAATCCTTCATGGAATAACAGCAAATCACGGGCAGGCACCTTCTTCCTTGTACGTACAGCGACCTGCTTGCCGCCTCGTGCAGGTCCAGTGCCTTATCAGAAGAAGAAACACTTGTAAATCCCTTTTTCCAGAAGCCTTTGGTCCGTTCATGACCAGGAGTGGGAAGGCTCGGCACCTCCAGCGCGGCCCCGCGGCGGTCCCGCGGTGACTCCTCCGCGCCGCGGGGGGCGCTGTGCGCCCGGCCCCGCTCGCCTCCCGTAGCACCGCCGGCGCATCCTGCGGCCCGACACGCGGCCAGGAAGTCGGGCAGCCTCACTCCCCCTCCTCTTCTTCCTCCTCCTCCTCCTCCTCTTCTTCCTCCTTCTCCTTCTCCTCCTCCGCCACGCCCCTCCCCGCCGGCTCTCAGCCAATCACCGCGCCAGCTTTTGGCCCCGGCGCATCTCCCGCCCCTTTAGGGGGCGGGGCGGGAGCGCGGGCGGGCGGGCGGCGAGCGCGGAAATGCCGCGGCGGCGGCGGCGGCAGGGGCAGTGCAGGTAACTCGGGTGTCGGCAGGCATCCTCCCTCCGTGCCCGCCCCCAGCGCCGGGAGCCTCGCCCCGGCGGCCGCGCCTCCGCTCCGGGATACCTCCGCACCTGGGACGCGCCCGCCGCCGGGAGGATGGCACAGCCCGCGGCGGAGGAGGCGTGTGGCTGCGGCGCCGCTGCCGCACCGGGAGACGACGGCGAGGAGATGAACGGCAGGAAGGTGGCTCTGATCACCGGCATCACCGGGCAGGTAACGGCGGGGCTCCCCTCGTTCACGTCCTCCTCCTCCTCTTCTTCCTCCTTCTCCTTCTCCTCCTCCGCCACGCCCCTCCCCGCCGGCTCTCAGCCAATCACCGCGCCAGCTTTTGGCCCCGGCGCATCTCCCGCCCCTTTAGGGAAGCGGCGGGGCTCCTGATTGGCTGCGGGGTCGGGCCGCGCGGCGGGAGCGGCGCCGAGCGCGGGGCGCGCTCCCGGGCCGCGCGAGGGAGAGGGGATGGGAAAGACCCCGAGGCGCCCGCAGGCAGCCGTGACTGGGGCCGGCGTGGGAGAGGGGCGGTGGGGGGCTCGGCGTGGGTCTGCCCGGCGCCTTCGCTCCCGGGCCCCGGGGCACATCCCCTCGGGTGCGTTCCCAGCCCGGTGCCCGCTTCCCTTCCCCGTTGGTGCCGCCAGTTCCGTGCCCGGCTGGAGCTCCGTCTGCCAGCCTCCGGCTGGGTCAGAGGCGGACAGACCACCTCGTGGTCTGCCTTGTCTGCCCCGCGGGTCTGTAGTGTTCTTCAGCTGGTGTGAGCGAGATGGGGTGCAATGCTTTTTTTGTCTCGTGTCTGGACTGTCTTGTAGTAGTCTGTACCAGGAATTCATGAGAAGTCAGCTAAACCTGTGCAGGGATGAGGTGTGAGCATCGCTGAAAAAGGAGCAGCACCTAGGAAAGACAGCACAAGGAGCCAGTGTTGGGACTCTTCATCCCGATGGTCTGCAGTGGGGAAGGTACCAGTGCAGGTGTGAGGCAGCCGGCGTGGGTTGTGACCTGATCAGGCTTGTCACTCAGAAGGGGTGCTTGTCACTTGCCACTGTGACACACTGGGCAGCCATGCATTTACAGTCAGTACCTGCTTTATACTGAAGCCTGAATGGATGACAACAGCGTTTCCCCAGGCCACCATTTGTATTTGTGTACATTCATTGCAGTCTCCAATTTTTTTGGCTACATTACTCATAGGGATAATGATGCTCTCAGAGTCTTGGTGCTTTGAGCAGAAGGTGCAGGAGAAAGATGGCATGGAAAGAGAAAGAAATCGCAATCTCCCTTGGAGCAACTTCTGCATGATGAAAAAAGATATGATGGTGGTGAGTTTTAACCTGGTGAGGTGTGCAGGAGGGTTGATATGTGCACTTTGGGCTTGTGCTGCTGCACTTCCAGTAGGCAGCTGGGATAGTTGGTTGGACTGTTTGTGCACACAGAGATCTGCATTGCTTTGTCTTTGCTGGCAAGTGGGTGCTAAATGAAAAGTTGTCCTGGACATGCTTACTCATATTTGAGGAACATCTTATTTGCAATGTAGATACCTCCCACTACCTGGAACAATTTGCTCTCCTTTCACATTGCTTATCTCCAGGAACATGCTGGTACTGAATGACTTCTGCTTGGAGGGTGTATCTCCTGTGATTGGTATAACTTGCTAAGTAAGTAATGCATAGTAGCCATTAAGGCTCATTTTAGAATCCCAGTGGAACAGTATTTTTTCTTTATGGCTTACATTTAGTCAGTGACAGCTTCATACATGGAAGAACTTCTTCCCCTTCAACTTTGACTTGTCCTAGTGTGTTTGCAGATCCACTGTGAGGTGCTGGTGTGGATTGTTGAGAAGTCCATGAGCGCTGTGAAAAAGTACATGTCAAAACAAACATGTTGCTCTTTTACTCTGAGACAGTCAATTTCTTTCTATTTTATAGTGGAAGAACCAGTGGGCTCTTTGTGAGGGAGTAAATCCAGAGACTAGCTTTTCGTCTGCTATCTGGAAGAACATGCACTGTGCTTTGAACATTCACCTGCTGCTTGTGTTTCACCTCATTATGCCTGGTCCCGTGTGTTTTTGCTACGCATCTTGGTCCACGCTCTTCTCATGGGTTAGCAGCTGTCTGCAAAGAGCAGGCTGGGAAGAACCATCCAAGGAGCTATCTGACAAGGGGATGTAACTATGTCTGAGAAGAGCAAAAACTAGTGATCTCTGTGTACTAACACTTTTGCTTGATGTTTATTTCTAGCAAGAGCACAGTCAGAGCTTTCCCAAGGACTCCTTTGGTGCTGTGTGAAAAGTCTTCCAGGTTGTTGGCAGAAGTGCATTTCTCTTCATCAAAGATAGTAAGTTAGAGGCCTGTAGCTACAACACTGTGATTCTTTCAGTACTGTGTTCTCTATATTACTTTGTCTGCTTTCAAAGCAGCTCTTCCTTCCTAGCTTAACTTTTGACAGGCATTCCAATTATTTATCATTGGAACATGTGGAGAACCAGAGCTAGGAAAGGCCTTTGCTGGGGTCCTGTAGTTCTCTGTAATTCTGAGATCTGCTGCCAGGATTCCTGGTCCATCTATTTTCTTAGATGAATTTTAAAGAAAGTCATGTACTACTTGTTTCTTACCCCTCTTTGAAGAGGCTCACCCAGAAATGGGAGACTTGGATTTTGTTTCCTGTGTGAGAAAGGGAGACTTGCATCTCCCTATCCCTGAAGAAACAGTGCAATGTGTTTTTAAACTTAGTTACCATGTGTAAAATGTACAAATATGCTGAAGTGGAAGCTGGAGCTCAGCCTTTGTCTCTCCCAGGCAATTATTTTAACAACTGTGCTAAAGAGTATTGGCCTGTTTCAAATGCTTCCTTTAACTGGTGCTCTTTCAAGGTGGGAGATAAAGGCTTGGATCTCTTCAGACTGAAGGTGGTATAGAACAGAATTGGATGGTAAACTCCCCTTATTTAAACTGCCCTTTCTGCTACAGCAAAAAGCAAGCCGGTGCGGTTGCATTGTATAAGGAACCTGCTTTTGTTTGTGTGTGGCCACTGTACTCTGAGAGTGTTTGCTGAAGTAATGCCCCGTAGGGCCTGGCACATAAGGATAGGTAAAATATAAGTATTGAGCTCAATGCGGACCATGACAGTTTTGGACAATTGTGGAGTAGGGCTTTTGTTGTTAGAGTGGTCTTGAGCGAAGTGAGGTGCTGCTTGAACTGGAACAGCCCTTCCTGAGTTGAGATGATGCCACAGCAAGTGTGCTTAATCATAATGCTGGAATCAGACAACTCATTGTTTTTCAGAAAGGCTGTGTAACCATGAACATGTGGAATGTTCACCTTTTCCACTGAAAAAAGCTGGGGTTTTCTGTCTAGGATGGAGAAAGAGTTGAGCTCAGATAGTTATACTTTGATAATGGAGCAATTGACCGATGATGCAGCTTTTAACTGAAACATAACAGAGATATGGCACAACTGAAACTTCTGATTAAGGGACTTCTAGTGGGGTTCATGAGACTTTACAGCATGCCATAGAAGGATGCACAAGTTGTTCTGTTTAGTGAGAGACTGGAGGCACATGCTATTTGCCAGCTTAACTTCACCTGTTAATGAAATCAGTTCAGGTGACTTGCTTTTCTTCTAGATAGAAGACATTTAGAGGACAGGTATCTGCAAGGGTGAATGTGTTACTGATAAGAAGGTGAGTTTGACCTCTGGCCAAATAACAGGAGGAGTTTGCTGCATGCATGGTGAAGCCACAAAGGAGAGCAAGTTTCATAATTCTGTGATCAGGACTTAAATGGCATTCCGGCTCCAAGGTCTGAAACTTTGTTTCTGTTAAATCAAAGCAGATGTATCAGCCTCTACAAATTCTGCATTCACCCTTGGCGTTATGGTGAAATCAGTATCATTCTAGCATTTGCATTGCTGATAAGATACTCTAAGCATGTAGGCAGTGGTGTTATATACTCCTTTTGTAGTATTGAGATTTCTCTTATCTTTCTCGCACCACAGCAGTGGGACGAACCACATTTCACTGTTTTGCTAAAATGACTTCCAGAGTGAGGCAGTTGGTGTGGTTAGATGGATGAAACACTTCTGAAGTGTCATGTGGGTATTGGTCTGTTGGTAGACTACTTGTGAGTAATGCTTAGCACTTTTTTCTTCATTTAAAGGGAAGTATTTTAAATTATGCAGGCCTCTTGTATGTATTTAAGTGAAAATACTTTTTTTTAAAAAATCTCAAAACAGCTTGAATATGACTAAGGGTTTTTTCACAATGCAAAATAAACATGCTGGACTTTTCAAACATTGGTAATTTGAAGAACTACTCTGTAAAAATTGAAGTTTTGAATCAAATACTAGTATTGCTAACAACGTAATTCTAGTTATGCAAACATGGCTTGTTGCTTATACCAGGAAGCTACTAAAGCAGTACACTTTTAAAGCATTGTTTTCTAGAGCTTGTGACTAAATATCTGTTAAAATTGCACTTAAATATCTGTTCAGAATGTCTGATTGTACTGCAGTCAGTCTGATTGTCTTTCTTATACTGATACTTGTGGAAGTATTTAGATATTTGACTTCTTGGAAAAGTACCAAGAAATAATCTGTCTGAGCCTAGCTATGAGGTTATATGTTGATGTTCTACTTTTCCCACTTGGCCCCTGGATTTTGAGCAGTAAATTATATTTATCTTCACCTGGTGCTTTTCTAGGAGAAGGCAGCAAGGTAGACCAAGATAGTTCAGCAGGCACTTCAAAGCTCGGTTTAGTATGAAGCAATGCGTTGGAGCTCAGTGTCAGTACATGCCCTGAGGCTATTGCAAACGGTGGATGAAGGGAGCAGTGGTGTCTCTGCCTTGAGAGTTCTTACAGCAGCAGTACAAGCCCAGCCTCTGCTCCATTGCCTGCAGTTCTGTCAAATACAGCTTCCATTTGGCAAAACTTAAGGCAGCAGCCTCAGAGATTTCAACCAAGCCTGAAGAGAACTTAAAGAGCTGGGTCTGCCTCTGTCCTTTGTATCAAAAGTTCAGTCACTTACAGCCTTTGCTATTCCTCTAACACACCGAACCCTTATATATGTGTACTGCAAGTTTCATGCCACAGTTACAGTTCACAGCTGGAGAAAGGTTAACTGTATCAAGAGGGAGGAAAAAAGATACTGAGAAAGCAAGATTTGCTGTTGTAAATTGAGGTCAGGTTGTTTGGTTTTTTAAAAATTTGTCTGTTGAGGTGAAACTGAGCAAGACAGACTCAGTGGGGCGAAGTGCAGTAATAACAGAATATGAGTCATTGCTTAGTATTAAAAAAAACCCCTGAAATGAATAGCTGGTATAGAGTCATATACTATAAAATTCTTTGGTACTCTCTGGCTAAAATAAAATAAATGTTACTTGGAGAAGAGGAAACAGTTAAACAATGTTTATGAAAGCTTCTTTCAGTATTGTGATCAAACTGTGAGGTGGAATCTGTGTCACTCAAGAGCGAGAAGATGTGTATACCTGAAAAACACAGGTAGAGAAACATTATAGCCTGTTGTACCAGAGACAGGATGTTGGTTTGCCAGGAGAAGGATAAAATCAGAGGGATTGGTTTTTCTCATTGAAATAGGAAGAGAATCTTTGCTGAAACTGGCTAAAGGTAAATATTAGCATTGCTGCCATTTCATTAAAACAAATAGTCTTAGTTTATGAGTAAAGCTAAATATTAGTATTGCTGCCTGTTCATTTAAACAAATATTGTCTTGTTTGAAGCCAAGTACTCTATTTCAGTTTCTGTCTCTAAGAAGCCAAGAGTTGTCTTGAGTGAGGAGTTCATGTGCATTGAACATCCTTATCATAGTTTGAGGGTGCAGAGATGTAGGAACACTGAATTTGGCCACAAACTTAAATGAAAGAAACTCCTTTTAAACTTGGGAGGGTATGTGGTTTTTTTGGGGTGGCTTTTATTGGATTGATTTGTTTTAAATGATGAGGGTGTCAAGCACAGAAGAAATTGACTATAGAAGGTGAGTGTCTGTCCCTGAAGGTACCCAAACCAAATTGGACATGTTGCGCTTGTTGACCCTGTCTTCAGAAGGGATCTTGAACTGCACAGAAGTCCCTTTCAATATAAGGTTGTATGATATTATGACCACTCCACAGGATTGGAAGTGGAACCACCTGCAGTTTGTGACAAGATGGCATAAGGGGCTTGTTAAAAATAATTTGCAGCAAATGAGTAGTGGCTCTGGCATGAAACGGAACTTTCCTAAAATATAATTCCAGGTATTTTCACTTTACAGCATATAAATGAGAAGTGCTGCTATTGATTGTCACCCAAAACTCTTGAGAGAAAGGTATTTTACTGAGTAAAGTACTATAACAAATACTGAAATGGCAGACTAGAATATTTTCTGAAAACAGAGACCCTATTTATATGAAATATTATTTATATGAAATATTTATCTGACAAAAGTCAGATGCCTGACTTTTGATCGCCTTCACTCCCTTTTGGAAAGAGGAGGGCTACTAGATAGACTAATTCAACTTCTGCATTAATAGCCATCTGTAAATACATGGTTCAATGCTTTACTCTTTCATATGGTTTGTACTCTACACCAGTATGTGCAGAGGCTTGACAGGGCTTTTGTCTTCTTCTAGGATTGGGAGTCCAGGACTTTGGTTTCTCTCTGTGCCTGCCTGGGGGTAGCCCATCTACCAAAGGTATTCCATTGCCTTTCAGAATAATGCAGTTAGTGATGGCATTTGAACATAAGTTACCTAGAAGATATTCACAACAAAAAGTATGACTGATACAGGATTAGTTCATGTGTGCCTTTATTTATTAACTTCCTTTTTTTCTTTCCACCTTTGCACAGCTTTGCTCAGTGTTTGTGACTGCCAGCGAAGTCTGTTCTTTAGCTGTGTACTGGAGAGGGAAGTTCTGGTAGCCTGGCTCAGCTAGCAGGCTTTCATTTCAAGGACCAGTGCAGGCAGTCTGATTCCTTGTGTTTGAACATGATGTATGCAGGATGTGGATCGAAAAACATTGAGAACTACAAGTGAATCATAAGGTACTGTATGCTGTGATGTGTTCCAGGAAAAAGAAAATGCTGAAGTTCATGTTAATGATGCTGAGGTATGAAACAGATCTACTCATGGTGACCAAATAGGGTTTGGGAAGATGACTTCCGCCAGGCAACATTTCTCATGACATCTGATGCTGTGGTTAGGGGGCTGTTTGGCATTACTACCTGGACTGTCCCGGAGAACAGAATACCCCATTGCCAGCAGCAAGCAGCTTGTTTAATATTTAATTGTTTTGGGATTTTAAAATTTAATTTAGATTGGTGACTGGTGGCATAGACAGAACATGTAGTTCTTTATTTTCTAAAGTTTTAAAGAGCTAGAGCCTCCTCTTCTCCATGTACCTACAACAAATCAAATCTGAATAGAGAACTCTTGTCAAAATCTTTTCTATGTGACTTGATCTTCTACCACTAAATTTTGGTCTTTTTTTTTTCCCTCTGATTATCTCTTTCAGATCCTTTTGTCTGTTGAGCTTTCTGCACAAGGGAGTCGCTTTCTTAGAAAATAGATAGCTATGCAGAAGGGCAAGGAAAAATGGAGCACTTGAACCTGCTGATGGCCTATGTGAGAAACACATCAAAAGCTACCACTGTGATCCCTCTAAATAATAAATAAAAAGTTGAATAAAAGGCTTTTCAGTGCAGTTGTGATACTGGTGTTCATCCTAGTGGTGCTTCCTGTTGCTCAAGACAGGACACCTTGTCTTTGACGAGTCCCAAGTCTGGGTTTCTTTGCACTTGCCTATGCTTTCATTCAGTCTGGGAGGCAGGAAGTACTTTCTTTCTCTTGGCAATTCCTAGCAACCTTATCCCAACTTCTTCAGACTTTTGGGTCTGGAGTAGAGTCCTGATTAAGTGACTGTTCTTACAAGCTTGTCAGCTCGGTTTCTCCTACACTGTCGCAGCACAACTCAGGCTTATTTTGGAAAGCACGGCTTCCTTGAAGCACTGGGTGGACGACAGCACAAGAGCAAGGCGGCAGCGTCGTCGATGTCCAGCTTCCTCTTCCACAGGTGTATGTTCTCTCTTGCTCTAAATCTCTTCTTGCTACTTTGGTTGCTTTGTAGCCAAGGGAGCAAAATAAAAAGATTTTCTTTCCCTTTAATATTTTTGTCACCTCCTGCCTATTTCATATGAATCCACTGGTTGTTTTTCCAGAACCTCAAATAAGGAATTCCTTTGGGTCATATGTGTGTGATCTGGAGGATGCAGTTATGTCCAAATCTTTCAGTTAAGCAAAACCATAGAAGGTGAGGTGAAAGAGTGGAATTCTCTCCAGTTTCCTGTTCCTATTACTGGCTTGTTCCTTTTGAGGGTGTTCACAGGCTTTACAACCTAAATCCACAATGAAGCTTTTGTAAAGCCTGCCAAACAAATTGATCTGAACTGGCTTATCTTTTGTCACCTGTGCTTTTCACATGTGTTAAGCAACTGAACTTCCTCATATGCAACTTGAATGTTGTAACAATTTTAATTTAGTCACAAATCAGTATACCCAAGGCAGACTTCCTTCTTCAGGAGTATTTCTTGTTAGTCTCATTATTTATTTTTTTTTCCTTAATGGAAAATATGATTTTTTTCCTTGTAACTCAGTGTCATTTGACAGTAAGCAAAGTAAGTATAAAAACGCATCCATTGACTTTGATATGGTTGTAGTTAGTTCAGTGATTAGTGCCATTGAAGGCTTTAGATACTGTGTACCCCGAGACAACTCCAGTTTGATGAATAATTTTCATTGTGCAGTCAAAGTTACTTGTGATATTGTCAGCTACTTCATTACAATGTTCAGCTGAGCACACTGGTCCAACAGGTATGTCAGCTACAAAGAGGTGCTTGCCTTGGATGTGGAATGCCATACATCTTGGCCTATTGCAAGGGGTATCCAAGTAGATAAACCAGCTTGTGCTGCATTTGCTGAGCTTGAATACCCTTGAAATAACGAAAAGTTATGCTTGTTCTAGAAAAACCTGGCTAACCACTAAGTGTAGCAAGTTATAGTCAAATTTTAGGAAATGGTTCTGCCGGGCTTTGCTTCAGCTGTCCTTTGACCAATTTACTGCTGCTTGGAAATTCTTCTCAGAGGAGAATTCCTACAGCCTGTGTGGTGAATTCTAATGCAGAAGGAAAAAATTATACCATGTTAAGTGTCTAGGTGAGCGCTTTTGCTGTGAGAGGATGCCTTGTTTCTGCTGCATATCTGACACCTGCACCGCTGTTAAAGAGGTGCCTGCTGGCTCTTGATTATGCCTCAGGTAAATGGTAACTGTTCCTGTGTATTCAGAGGCAGTCTGAGGTAGCATGTCACCAGACTGCAAAGGAATCCTTAAACCACCCAACCCCCAATTTAGAAAAAGGTGGACAGTTTTTTTATTTATGTCCTAGGATGTCTGAAGCTGTACCAGAAGTACATTGAAGACATTTACCACTTTATGAATGGAAATAAGCCTTTCCCAAGGTGTATAGATTGGTATATATGTTTGGAGAAAGTAAAACACAAAGTCAAGAAAGAAATACTTCTGACTGCTCCTATACATCTTTTTTTTCCCCCTTTTTTTTCCTGAGTTTTATGTTTCTGGTTTGATATGCTGCAGTCCCTTCTGACTCTAAGTCTTCCTGTAAACTGCTGGTGCTATTCTGGAACTGGGTACCAATATCTGACTGTTTAGGTTGCTATTTGTCAAATTACAGGCATGCTGTCAGGAGTGTGGTTATTTTGTTTTTGGGTTTTTTTCCCCCCTAGCATTTGCTTGGTCCATGAAGAATCTCTTCAGATGCATTAGCAATGGGTGGCTTCATCAGTGATGCTGGTGATGACCCACAGCTTCCTCTTAATTGAGATTTCTCTGTTGAAAGGATAAGAAACAGACACCATATCTTTGGCTGCTGATTGTTGTCCTTGCTTTTTTTAGCACTGATATCCTCTCTAAGAGCATAAACATTACTGTGGAGCACGTTTGGTTTTGAAAGCCGAAATTTCTGGGTATGCTGTCTGGATTTCATACAACTAAATAATTGTGGTTTTGATGTCAGTGTAATTCTTTCCATGATTACACAGTAATAGTCTGTCAATGTATTCCTGCCAAAACTTAGCATGCTGTTTGCCTCTGAAGTTAAATACTATTAAAATACTACAAGTAAACAGTACAAAAGGGATACAGAACTCTTCAAGCCTGCATGAAAAATACTGTACTCTTCCATCTTTTAGGTATCTCTTTGGTATTTTAGGGATCCGTCTGCTCCATGGGAATGCTTAAAAAGGTGCAGCTGAGAAACTTGTTTGTGGCTGTTACTGGTCAAGCATTGTGCTGCTGGAGCCCAAGCCTGGTCTTTGTGAGCAGACCTTCACAGCCTCTTGGCTGAAAAGTGGTTTTTTTTCCCCTCAGTGTTTGAAATGATAATGGAAGCTGTTCCAGAATCTCACTGGTCTTCGAAAAAGCAGTGGGGACTCTGGTTGTAGATCTGCAGGCTCAGTAAAATGTGATTTTATTTTTGATGGCAAAATAAAGCTGGAGATTTATTCTGATATGTGAAGGCAAGGAAGTTACAAAGACTAAGAGTTAAGCTTTGCTTTATGCCCTTGCTAGTCCATTTTATGAAAACAGTCATACTTGCAGCTGATCTGAGACTGAATAGTTGTAACTGTTGGGTTTAGTTTCGTGTGTTTAATTTCTTGTGGTCACCTGATATACATGAAATGTTTCCATGTTCTTGTTGCAGCACTTTATGTAGTTGAATATATAGTGTAACTGTTCAAGTCCTTTTTCTGCATTTTGCAGTGAGAAGATCTTTTACTAATTTGAGAGATTTTCATTATTCAGGAGTAAAATAAGAATATTAAAACTGTGTCTTCAAAATTACACTTGCTGTATTTTCACTGGTATTATCATTATGTTTTCACACTATTTATGCTGGATCACTGTTTAATAATGTATAGGAGCCATCTTTGTAGAAATGCATTATTATGCTGCTATTTTTGGTTTGTGAAGTCTCGCTAGCATTTCAGATAATTTCATTGCCTGTAGCTTTACTTATTTAAACATTAGGAGAGATGAGATTATTCTTAGAGAGTAACTCAAGTGGGGAAATACTGATTGCTAATTCCTTTTAGTGTAATTCAGCTTTGTCACACACAAACTCTTGGTTTTCCTCATATTAAAGGATCTCACATCTGTCTGCTGTTTTGATCAGTTGAAAACAGGTGCCACATAGACTTGGCAAATTGAAAGCAAATTCAAGACTACAGAAATTCCCTATTGATGACATGGTTTTGATTTTGATAAATTGAGAGAACTGCAAAATGATGGTTTAAGTTATTTTTAGAAGACATGAAGGTGTGTAAAGCAGGAAATAAGAGTGTGCACATGCATTTGAAATACATTAACTGATGGGGAAGCTGTGTAACAAGTACCTGCAGTGGTGGACAAAGAGCTTACTCTTGATACTGGTTATGTAGGCTGAGTTTCTCAGACTTACTTGGTGTGACTTCAAAATGTGACCGTGAACTTCCACTAATTAGTCGAATCCAATTAATTTCCTTTATATAAACAGGTGTTGCTGGTGATGGATTCTGTCATCTTAGCTGGGAACCTTCTTGCTTAACTGTTTCAACACCTGAGCAGGTTGTCTAGGCAGCTGTTTCAGTGAGTGAGAGCCCAGGCTTGTTTAAGCAAATGCAGGTGCCTGCTTAGGCTTATAGCCAATACAATTCACAGCACCTGGCTTCCCTAGCTGCTCTGCTGAGGGTGAAAGGTGCTCAGGGTGGCTACCTGATGGGACTTACACTTTTATTGTCCTGAGTAGCACCTCATCTTGCAATGAGGAAGCATTTATTTTATACAAAGCACTTTGCAGGATAAACAAAGTCGATGGAATTTGGTTACTGGAATTGTTTTTTTTCTAGGAAAAAAAGCATATTGCACAGTAAATGTGTTTATATGCAACTAAAGATATGGAGTCTGAGTACTTTTACAGGTACTTAGTACTTTTGAGGTTGCTGCTTTGGAGTTAATCTGAGGAGGAACAGCACTTCCAAATCCCTGTTTGCCTCCTGAGCATCCTCTGCACAGCCTCTCTGTTTCTGATCCTCTTTGTGTTTTCAGGGATTGACTAGTGTGTTTCATTTTTCAGTTTGCCTGATATCACTAATGTCCTATATTCCTTTCATGTGTGTACTGTGGCTTTGATGTTAAACCAAGTTTCTAGGCAGACAATGAGTGGTTTTGCTTCCAAAAAGTTTTGGAGAGTTGGTTATTGGCTCATGGACACTGTGGTACTTGGCTGTGTAAGTGACTGTCCATCTTCCCCTTGTAAAACCTCCCTGTGTTTACTCACAAATGTTGGCAGCTGCTGTATTGTCGCTGTGTGTTGAAGGGCAGGATAGGGCCAATTTATAGCCTTGGATGGTAAGACAATAGGAAAAGTGATCAAAAGCCAGTTAGGAGCGATTCTTTTGAAGGAAGTAAACTCCACATTCCTAGTGAGGGTCTGTGATCTTGTGAGCCATTCAGTTAGCTGAGTGAAACGTCCCCTGTTTCATCCAGATCAGTTCTTGATGTTTCAGGGCTGGTGGCTTTGAAGATTTTTTTTTTCAGTTGCTTTCACTAAGAAATAATTTGAGCTTATGAG